AAATTTTCTGTATAAAAATAATCTCGATTCGGTATCATTGAAATTAATCATTATGAATCCGATGAGCTTTCCAGCTTTGGATACTTGAGATGCAATTTGTTCAGAAAAGTTCAAACTGTCGCTATATCTTAAACCGAAGTCACGAACAGTGTTGAGAGGTTTCAGTGCATGTTTGTGTGCAGCCAGATTTAGGTTAAGGCAGCGGCCAATGTGAATAAACCCACTTTTGTTAACATTAAGTGGCAAATTCCACGAAATAGTCCATTCGTACAACTTGTTTATTTCTTCTTGGATTACCGTTGAAATATAGCTTTCTTTGGTGGGAGATGAGAATGAATAAACCACTTTTAGATCATCGGCCAAAAGAAAAGGTTTTCCAAGAAAGTCTTAATGTTGTTGTCTATCCGAGATCCGTATTCAAGACTCTAGTGAAGCACTACAAATCCATTCTCCATATGTTGATTCGAAAAGCTTGTTTCGCGTGCGTTTATCTGTGGACCCTGTGGCATCTTCGTCTGATCTTGCAGGCGTTGGTGTCGCTCTAAGCTAAGGCAGCACTAATTGTAAGATCCATTTTGAAGGTAAAAATTCCCCTATGTATACCTCTGCAACTTCTTAGTAGTTTCTTTATTTGTACATTATTGTTAATCTTTTTGATGCCAATGAGACTGTAATGTTTAATTTCATAATAGTTTTCTCAGTTTTTGTACCGCTTTCATTGAGTTCTATGTTTCTTCTTGAACTGTATCTAATTTCTTTTAATTGATATTATTCTGGCGGCTGCCATTTTGATTGTTCGATCTTTGAACATGTTGCTTGATTTGACTGGGATCGTACATTTTGGTTGTTAATTGGAGCACTTTCCCAAAATCGAAAACACTCTGTGTTATAAAGCAACATTTGGAACGCATTATTTACTTGATCTATCCAGGAAGGATAGAATAACACTTATTTTTTGGAGCGTTCGGTAATTTCCCTATATTTCTTATCACTTCGCCATTTATTGTAATTTAGATTGATTATTTTGGGAACAATTGTCGGTTGAATAACTGCGTGGTAATATTTGTACATTTGTATATATGATCAATTTTAGGACCGCTATTACCCAAATCACCCTGTTCTGATTTCGATTGGGTCGCGCGTCAATACACATATTCCACAGTTATTCTTCAGTCCAACTTAGGTTTGGATCTAACACTAATCGACTGAATCCACATTAACAGTCGGTTATGTGCTGTTAGATTAGAAAGTTCCATCAAAGCGAGAAGAAACGATGTCTTTTCGTCATCTCCGCCTATGCTACAACAAATTACAGCCCGGATGAAATCAAGGATGAAGTCTGTCACCAGATGACTGTTCTTCTCCAGAAAGCGCGTTCGACAGATATTGTAATACTAGCCGGAGGCTTGAATGCACAGGTCGGGCGTCTAGGCACAGAGGAGAGTCGTTTAGGTGGCCGATGGGGACTTGCTGACCGCAGCACAGATAACGAGGACCGTTTGCTGCAATTGTGCTTAGACCATAACCTGTTTCGGGCTAGCACTAACTTCCGCCGATGTGCCACCTGGCGTCCCCCCTATGCATCTCAAGCCTGCACTCAGAATGATCACATCGCGATCAGCTATCTCTGGCGTGGTTGTGTACAAAACTGTTGCTCCTTTTGGAGTACCTATCTGGAGTCTGATCATGCACTGATCTGCGACAATCTTATCTTACTTTTCAGTGGCCGAAGGATTGACCACCACCAACGGATCGATGTTAGTAAACTGGCTGCAACTTCTGTTGCAAGTAAGTATCGAGCGGAGCTAGCCTCTAGGCTAGCTACCATCCCATCGAAAAGTATAGATGAACATTGGTTGCATCTTCACGACGCCATGAAAATGGCGAGTATAGCCGCTTGCGGCTTACAACTGATGGAAGTCAGTCGGTCTACTCCGGGTGACCGTGAGTTTGACCACAAACGAATGCTGTTACGTAATGAAATCGGCAAAGCTTGCGTAAGGACCGGGAAGCCTGGTGGTCGGAGCGTGCTAATGAGATGGAAGCAGCAGCTGCATCTGGTAACTGCCGGAAGCTATTCCAACTCATCCGAGCCACTGGCAGCAAGAAGTCTGGTGTGAGTGAAACTATCTGCGAGGATGACAGGATGCTAATCACTAACATCCATCGACTTCTTGAACGATGGGTGGAATTCTTTGAAGGGCAGTTCAACTGGCCTGCTGCTCGGGCAACATCAACTAGTTTGTCCAGTCCCCCATGGACAGTGACGACTGATCCACCAAACGAGGCGGAAGTCCGCAAGGAACTCCAACTCCTGAAACGCTACAAATCACCAGGCCCAGATGAATTACCTCCGGCTATTTTCAAAGATGGTGGTGACTTTCTGACTAAGGAATTGACTGTGTTGTTTGGAAAGGTTTGGGAGCAAGAAAGTGTTCCAACATCATGGAATGAGTCAATAGTCGTCCCTATCTTTAAAAAGGGTTCACGTTGTTCCTACAATAACTATCGGGGGATAAGTCTACTTCCGATGGCGTCCAAACTATGGGCTTCTGACATACTTCGTAGGTAGTCCAGAACTCGAGAAAGACTGACTCGCGAGGAGCAGGCTGGTTTTCGTTCTGGTCGAGGATGCATTGATCACATCTTCACCCTCCGCCAAATGTTAGAACACCGTCATACTTATCGCAGGCCAACAATCGTAGTGTTTCTTGATATCAAGGCGGCCTTCGATTCGTTGGACAGGACTGTTCTCTGGGATTGTCTATTGAACAAGGGTGTGCCTGAGAAGTTTATTAGCATCTTAAAGGCCCTGTATACGAACACCTCAGGCAGAGTGAGGGCATACAACCACCTTTTTCCATTGTTCCATTCGAGCAGTGGGGTTAGAGAGGGTTGCCCGATCTCACCATTCCTCTTCAACTTTGCCATCGACGACATCCTGGAAACAGCTCTGATGGATGTAAGTAATGGCGGTGTGGATCTGTTGCCTGGAGAACGACTTCTCGACCTTGAGTATGCTGATGATATTGTCTTACTGTGCGATAATGCTGAAGCCATGCAATTCGCACTTTATCAGTTGGTAATCAGTGTCCGCAGGTACGGCATGTGCTTTGCACCCTCCAAGTGCAAAGTACTTCTACAAGACTGGCAGGATTCTAATCCTTTACTCACACTGGATGGTGAGGAGATCGAAGTAGTTGAGAAGTTCGTGTATCTAGGTAGCTATGCACGTATAATGAAAGCCAGAGCGGCTTATGCCAATCTGGGCCATCTTTGGCGCCTTCGTGATGTTAGTCTGGCCGTAAAAGGTCGGATCTACAACGCGTCGGTGAGAGCAGTTTTGCTCTATGCTTGTGAAACCTGGCCTCTCCGAGTTGAGGATGTTATACGACTCTGTGTTCGATCATCGTTGTCTCCGAAGGATTGCTGACATCCAGTGGCAACACTATGTCAGTAATGCAGAGGTTCGGCATCGTGTGTTCGGGTGCAGAGACGATAATCCAAATGGTGTCAACATCTTGAAACACCGACTTCGGTGGCTTGGACATGTTCTACGAATGGCATCGTAGATAATTCCATGTCGTGCATTATTTGCCGACGCTGAAACTGGTTGGAGAAAGTGGGCAGGTGGTCAGTTTATGACATGGTGTCGTGGCATGAAAGAAAGCTGCAAAGGGCTAGCTTCTGTTGGACCTTGACGACTCCCTGGCTGGGGTCCAAGAGATGGTGCAACACAGTGGCTAGAGACGTTATCAGATATGGCTCAGAATAGAAGCCAGTGGCGATCATGCTGCAACCTTCTTTTACTTTCTTCATAAAGAGTGGTTCTAACTTTCTTAACTGAAAGAGTCTTGTGGTTGTACTCTTCAGTTCCCCTTACCATTACTTTTTGTTTTATGCATCTTATCCCGTTCTCTTCCCCTTTTCATTGTTTTGTGTAGCGCATATATATCTGGTGCCCCCCTTGCACCAATATTTATGTTCAAATAAGTAAATAAAATAAAATTCCAACCTCTCCGTATAACACTGCGTATACATCTAAAGTATCTACGTGTTCCTCTAATGAGATCTGAACATCTCACCGTTAAATGTTGCACTAACAAACAGTCTGAGGTATTAACAAGTCTATCTTGTAATGATTGTCGAGAAATGTAGTCGACGTGTTTAGTTTGTTTAGCACTCCTGTGCTGAACTTTATAGTCATAGGCACTCAAAGCAATACTCCATCGTTGAACCATAGCTGCTGAGGAACGTGCTAAGGATTTTTCAGGATGATAAATGAACTTTAAAGCTTCATGATCAATAACAATGGTAAACTCCTTTCCAAATAAATATTTACGAAGCCTTTTAACAACCCAAAATACAGCTAGTTCTCGTTGAGTTTGCGAATAACCTTGTTCAGTAACAGTAAATTTGTGTAAAACATAAATAACTAGTCTATCTTCGTGCTCCAAAACTGCATCAATACCCACAGTAATAGATACAGAATGTACACTGGGTGAGTAAGTTCGAAGAATAGCATCACTTTGAAGAAACTTTGGCAGACTTCATAAGCATGACTCTTGTTTCTCACCCCATTTGAATGAACCGGATGTCAAAATATTAAATAAACCGTTGACACGACAAGAAAAAATAGGAATAAGACGAGAATAGTACTGAAGAGCACCCACTAGTGAACGTAGTTCTGTGGGATTTTTCTGAGTCGGTGTATTTGTCAGTGGCGCTAGTCGTTTCATATCTGGTCTAAAATCATTACCGTCAACTTGGTATTTCTTATCCGGCGGCACCGGTGATCCGCTCTTACTAGATACAGAAGCCCGTAATGTGAAAGGTTCCTATATTCTGTCCAGAACCGTTTCACTTTGAATGGCGGCAGAATGAACTGTGACGTTAATAGTGTGGACCAAGTGAGGGGTTGTATTGGCGGTCATTTTAGTAATACATCAGCTGCTATGTTTGTCCCATCTCGCTTCCGCTAACAAATCAGCTGGTCTTTTATGATGAAAAAATTTAACAGAAAGGATTTCAAACAGTGTGAACTAAAGCCGGTCGAAAAAGAATTGTCGAAACCTTTGCCAGGAGTCCCTATTCATTTTAACTATGAAGTGTTTTTGGATGACGGTTACGACCATATGCAACATCTCAAATCTGATGATACCAAAGAAGCCTACATTATAACTGTAATACTTGAATATTGCGCCAGCAATGCTTCCAGTGATTCTGACTCATCTAGAATACGCGAACCTGGAGTTGATTACGATGAGCACATTATTAGTAACCTAAATATGGATTCAGAAGCCGAGTCTTTCGACATAGGAAGGGAATTAGAGGATAATTTTGTAGAACTTGCAGGTGGCCATAATGTGAAATTCTTAGAAATCGGTAGTGATAATGCCAAAGTGGCTGGGGACAACAAATAATTGAAAGCAAAGACAATAGAAACAGATATCTCAAGGGTTTCTAAAGATAAAGTCGCACTCATAGAACGTTTTCTTTACGGTGCCAACGAAAATTCAGAAGACATCACAACTTCTAGCTCCGGTCAGTTTACCAAGGATTATGGAATCAATGACTACTCAGACGACTCAACCACCTTGAATAAAGAGTTTGAAAAGCTAATGTTACGATTCAAACCTCGGTCAAGTTGCATTCAGGCTTTAGTCTCTGGAACATCGGTGGCGAGCGAAAGCTTGAGATATGCTCTTGGCCGTGATATAGCGATCGCTAAGATGGAAGTAAAACAAAACCGTGAGGATTTTGATGATGATCTAAAAGCCATAACATACATATGTACGAAGTTGAGACCTCGAAAGACGTCATTGATGGGCCTGTGGAAGGTTTGTGCAACATTTTTTAGGCCGAACGGCGTGAGTGAAAACTCATAGGTGTGATGATAGAGGTTTTAGGAATGTCGTCAGAGGCCGTAGTAATTTGATTATGTGCTTTCACTAAATCGATATTCAAAAAGCAGTTGTACTTTTCAAGGTGGCTGGCAAATCGTGAATGTAAGGCAAAGTGTAACGACCAAGAATGGTATTCACATTCAAACGCCGAGAGTCGCCAGTTAGACGCCAATCGTTGCTGTTCTTTGTAGTTACCGTGTGTGAGGGAGATGCCTATAGGTTGTTTGACGGCCGAATACTTCCCAAACCTAACATACGCTTGAATGCGCTTTTGATCAACCTCAGTTTTTGGGGAGCTAGTTGGTGTGCTTTCGATAATATAGGTTTTCCTGCAGTTTTGATGTGATGCGTGAAATTTCTGGTTACACACGCTAATTTCGGTTGTGTTTGGTATATCTCAGGCTAATTGTCGATTATTTGTTGATAGTATGGAACGATCGTTTTCCTTACTGTAATGAAGATAATCTACGACCGCAAAAAGAAGTTGCACAAACAGACATATTAGTATTTCCGTCTAGTAACCTCTGTTTGCGCGTGTCGATGAGTAGATTATGATGCTGAGGCAGTTTTATACCAATGATTGGCGTAGAAACATCTGTAACGACAAAAACTCAGTAAATAGGTATTAAGTCTGTTTTATGTTCCCTGTCCTTATTCACCTGCCTTCGACTCTTCTGTGTATTACTTTATAATACTTATTACTATTCAGTAAAAAGTTATATTCCTAGCGATTTCTACGCTTATGTTGTAACGGAAGTTTGTCGTATAGTATTTTGAAATATTTACATGTTGTTATAATATTTATCGTATTTATGATTATAACTCTTCATTTCAATCATTGTAGTAGTTACTCGCAATCTTTTGTAATCGTTTAACCCTTGCCTAAACTCGGCAGCTTCCTTATTGCTTGCTCTTATTTCAATTTCTACTTGTTGCTAAACCGTTATCACTTTCAGACACAGCCAAAAACTGTCATTTTTGCGCTACCGAAGCCCTTTTATTTGAGACAGAAGGACGCGGTTAACTTCAAAGACCCTCATAAGTTTAGGTTCAAAACTAATTTTTATATATTATACAGTAAAGTACCGTTATTTGATTTTGCACTTATCTCAATCGGGTGATTTGGACGCTTCGATAGGCTTAACAATGGGTCTGCGTAAACTCATGTTAAGATAAAAACACCTTTCATCATACGTAGAGTTCTGTTTCCCATTTGCCTTCCGTAATTCGAAAACTGTTTCTATCAGTCGGTCGTTAGAATTAACCGGAAGAACGCTAATTTTTGAGCCAGTGTCGACGCGTTAGCGAACTTTCTTAACGACAATAGTGATATTCAACAAACGGCTACGTTTGCCGTTAACGAGTGCCGCCTGAGAAGTTTCCTGAAACATTTTACGTGTCAGTTGGCTTGTAGATCGAAAAATCGAAGGGTGAGGCCAGCTCGTCTACAGCGTTGTTCTTAAATGAGATAAGCAGTCCCTGCACCTTATTGGGAAGCCTAGAAAAGACGTGTTTTCTAAACAAGTCTTTTGACCAATGACCTCTCTCAACCATAACCATGTATCTGTTGCTGAACCATGATGTAGATCGATTTTATTGAGGAGTCGGCACAATCTATGAAGGTTGGTTAGATATCCGCGTTTCAGGATAGACCATTTTAGAGTTTCTTAAGGTTCCGAGACATCACTAGTAAGCATACTAGATGTGGCGCACCTATTGAATTCATGTGGTGGTTCTTTCACTACTGCGAGGACCTGTACCCGCAGATCGATCACGCCGTGCTCGTGGAAGTCAGGTTCCGGGTAGCACAACCAGGATTCGATGTTGTCGGACAAGAATGACATTAGCTGGAATGAGGGTGGTGCATAAGTCTTGATCTTAAATAACTTAGAAATCTGTTCCGTCATGATGAATATAAAGTATGGCAATGAATGGGAAAATAATCCCTAAATACTAAGTAAAAAAATCAAAATATGTAAAAATTAAGGTAAGGCAATGATATATGAAGTTCCGAAAACACACAAACAGGTGTACCAGATCACGTTGAGCTCACTACTAATGATGCCACAGGTATTCGAAGCTTGATAAAGACTTAACGAGTAACACATTTTATACTCGTAATATGTCAACTCAGTGAAATCAGAAGTCAGAAGAGATGTTGGAAGATATATTTGATAGGCTATCAATGTATCGAGAAGTGACCGATCTAAGCTGGCTGGTGGTTGTAGAAGTTGAGTACACTATACTTATCCGTGATCTGGTGTGGGTGCATGACCGAGCCCCTCCAGCTTGGTGAACTCATTAAAACTAATGCGGTCAGCATCTAATGCCGAAGGCTTACAGAGCTAATGATTTTGGAGATTTATTTACCGCTACAATTTCTTACTATCCCGTTCATTATACGTAAATTACCACTTAGCCTAAGGTATTGTACACAGCTTTAATTTTTCAAGCCACACCGTGTGCGACAAGCATCTTAACTCCAGGAATGAGCGTGGAAATCCCCTCGGTAGTTCGCTCCAGTGGTCCAATTTACCTAAAGGACAGGGTATTGATGCATGTATGTAATTGGTAATTTGGATTTCATTAGGACAAAACTCCATCTTAACACCTATACGAATCCATTTCCGTTGGAAACGAGACAATGGATATTTTGTTTGTGTAAAGAAACTTTTGTTTTATCTACAACCAGCTAACTCATTTAAATACAAAATAGATCTGCTACGATGATAGAAACCAACCAGCTATAATAATCATACTAAGCGTCTTCATACATCAGTGACTGTTCTTCACACTAAATAAAATAGACACAAATATACAACAGCCCTTAAGAAAAATATAGTATTATTTGGATATTCTAATGACTGGCCTTCGGAAACAGTGTCGTTCAAATCTAGTTGGTGTAACCTTCGAAAGGCCTTAGATCCAGTTTTAGTCAAATGATTGTATAAATATCATACTTGTTCGTTATTGACCTCTGTTGGTTGTTTCTATTAACGAATAGGTTTTTATTCTGTACTCACCAACACTACCACGGCTCTTCCATTAAAACATATTTTTAGTTTAGCCCCAAGCCCACCGACACCTAGTTTTTAGATTAAAGAAACAATTATTATGTTAAACGGTAAAAATACCAGCACTAATAGTTCTGTTTTGGCTAAGTAACTCCATAAAAACTTCACCATGATATTCCTATTGGCTTCACCTTTTCATTTGAATATGTTCTAATAATGGCCAGTGTAGCTCTAAAAGCCACGAGATCTTGATTTGTCGTGGATTTGATGCCACCTAAGGACTTTGATTAGGCCGTAACTACTGTTTGTGTTTCTCAAGATACTAATGATTATGTTTTGTTCCATCAGCTTCAAAAATAGGTCTGATTTGTGTTCCGTCAGGAGAACAGGGCTAAGTATGGTCTATTCCTCTAAAAAAAGCAATAATGTGTTTGTCAAGGCATCAGCTAGGTATACAGTTCATTCGGAATAGATTTTACTAGTTTAAGACACTTATGTAATCAAACATCCGTTTCTGCCGGTATGGAATATCCCGTATGCAGGACTCCTCTGCAATAACTGTGTATTCTGGACCCATGTCGATCTTCAGGGAGAATTTCCTGGATCGGATTTACCTAATGGAGACGCATTTATGTAGCTTAATAGGTCAGCCATCGTACTGCTTCCTATACTTATGATACTGGAAGGCACCCTTCCTGAGTACTTGAATTTTTAAAGCAATTAGTCCCTTTGATACATTTTGATAATGTAATAAGAAGACGAAGGTTATCAGAACTATGTGATATATTTGCGCAATACATACAGATCAGATTGTTTGAAATGTATTGCGCTAATATATCACAGTTCTGATAATCTTCGTCTCATTACATTATCAAAAAACTTGAATTTTTGTCTACTCTTTGCTTATCTTGCGATAAGTCAGTTCTCATAAATCCCTGGTTGTGCATTACTTTTAATTTACCAGTTGTTTAAAGTTACATCTTATAAGTATCCCCTGCTTATTTACGATTTTCTCCAATGTTTTTCAATATATAGAAGATAAATGATCTTTCTCAAGTGAGTCATAGAATAAGTAGTACATACTCATTAAAAAAATTTAACTTAACAAACATCTTCAGCTGGCAAGTGCACATTAAAGAACAATTGTTTCAGGCATTTCAATTCTAGTTTATCTACCCCTGCTTTCGAGCATGGTTATACGTGATTTTGCAGAATATCAACCATCGCCTCTATTGGGTTGTTGAAGGAAATTAATATCCTCATATAATAGTCACATACAAATCAAAATGACCATCATGATTGGTAATTTGCATCTGAAAAATGTACTCAGAAAACACGTTACTTTAATAAAGGCTGCATTCAAATAATGTAAATCAAATCACGGTTAACAACAGATTTTGTCAGTTACCCAATTTCCTCATTTTTCAGTTGTTATAGGTGCAGCCATAAAGTTAAAATTTTCGCATAGCTTCTCAAAAATCAATCTTCATACTTTTTCTAAAACTCCGGATACTTACCAACTCGTAGGTATTGACAAAAGTTATCTTAACCCTAATAATTTAGAACTAATCTGTGGTCTAAATAAGGTGCTGATTGAGCGCGTTTGTTAGTTACCTTGCGCTATGAGCTACCTATATTGTACCTGGGGCATCGAACCTTACTTGCACAACAGTTTGACAACTGGCTTACGAGTTTAAAATATCTTAGTGTACTTTAAGAATTTCTTATATTAGTCGATTGAGAGTGTAACTCTGATACCAGATACACGAACCAAAGATTACTGTGTGTTATATCGCTTAAATAAAATTGCGATTAATAGTTAATATTTTAATGGTAGATCAAAGTGCTCAAGTTGTTGGTAATGTATAAATCAGGAACAGGTCATAACCAACATCAAAGTTATGCTCTCTGGGGTCTAAAGCGGTTTTTATTTTATAGAACCAGTCAATCGTAGGTGTAACTGGTAAATAACAATCCAAACAGCTGAACCTGTTTCGTTGCCAATATACATGTACAAAAAATCGTGATAAACCAAAATTAACTTGTAATTATCAAGATCACGGGTGTGAAGTGTTTACTAGTCAAGGATATAACTAGTATTTATTTCTAATAATAATTAAAATATACTTCGACAAATGTGTATATAACAATGTAAAAACTCTCACTATGATGCATTCAGTTTAAGCGAAAGGGGTTAAGACCAAACAAAAAGTTGAAACTAATATATTTGATTGTGTTGTTTTTCTGTAAGTGTTTGTGCAAGAGAAATGCAGCAAGCTTTGCTTTCCGGTCCAGGATAGGTCTTGTTAACTTTGTACATTAGGATATTTTCGCTATTCTCATAAATTTACGTAAATATTTTCCTCTTACTGATTCATGTTAAAGCTTTGTTAATTTTCGTTCATTTTTAGCCAATATAATGAACAAGTCGAAAGCAAACAGAACCAAAAGTAGAGGTCTTACAGATAATGTAATAAAAAATCCATCTAACTTTGGACAGACAGATAAAGAGCTATATGCAGTACTTATTGCAGACCTTCTATACGATCGTTTCGATCCTCTAAGTGACTACATTCCCCCTTGTTTACTTCCATTAAGTAATGTTCCTCTGCTGCATATGACGTTATCTACTCTTGCTTCTGATGGTTTCAGGAACATCCTAATCTATACTATTAAAAGCTACAAAAGCGTTCAAGCATATATAAATCAAACTATTTTAGGTAATTGTTTTCCTGGATTGAAACTTTTTGTACGAAATGTGGAAAATTGTCATAATCTGGGTGATATTATGCGTGATCTTGAGTCAAGTGAATTTCTTTGTGGAGTCTCAGATTTTCTTCTTGCTCCCGCTGATCTGATTTGCGGCATCTCTTTGGCGAAATTCGTCCATAAACATAAGGAACAACGTGAAAAAACACCTAATGCTCTACTCACTCTTCTACTACCCTCTATAACCGAAGCGATAAGTCCAGTTCAAGCTTCTGAGCTCAAAGTTAACGTCATGTTTTCGCGAACAAACAATAATCGTTTGATCAATCTTTTTCACGAATCTAATCGTGACCTTTCTCCAGTTTTGCTTAGCGACTTGATGAAACCTGGTGAGGTTATCGAGTCTTCTCAGCTGATGGATATTCAACTGAGTATTTGTAGTAACCATATACCACCACTGTTTCAAGTGAGCTAAAGCGTTTTAAATTTCATTGAGTTCTTTCAAATATGGGTTCACAATGTTTTTTAAAACTATGTTCAACTACAAAGGACTGTCTGTTTATGGGTATGGCTTCAAATGAAATACTTACAAGTTTTTGTACTTTATTCTGTTTACATTTAGCTGTTTGGTGCTTAGTATTAAAAGGGGTGTTACAAATTATGTATAGAAACTTTACGTTGCATTTTATTATAAGGGTCGTCAGTGTTATAAAACGTTCATTTATTTTTTGAGATTTCATTACAGCATAAAGCTGATAAAATCATCAATTAAAATGTAAAAGAACTATTTGGTTAGTTTCAAAAGCATTTAGAAACAAGCAAGACCAATAGTGGGGATCGCTTAAGTATTTTGTTTACTGCAATCGTCTACTAAATAAATATCCACTGAAGTCGTCACTTGCCTGCTATCTTCATCGTTTATACTTATTCAGCGAAGTGGCAATATGCATTTTCAATTGATCTACGATATTTGTTATCGAAGCTAAGATCTATACACATTGTAGATTTATTTATCTTAAAATCAAACTAAGTTAATAGTAAAACTTGAAACTACTTGTTTTGTTTACGAATTTTGTGCGTATCCTCTCCTCATTCTCAACTCATCGTATGTGATTTAATTTTCAAAAATGTGAGTTTACAAATGTAATTGTTTGATTGCGAAGATTGTCTAATTTCACTGCAGTGTATTCACTCATTTCTATCAGAGAAGTATTTTTAGTTTAATACAGCAAAATCCAAAGTCTTATTAATTTCTAACTAGCGATTAATGTGCTACTAAGGAGGGACACCATATGGTAGGAAGAACATAATTATCGAATGAGTGATCTGCAAAACTGGTTCCCTACAGCTGTATATGTTCTACGTCATAAATTATATTTGTTTTGTGTCAACACTTTATATGTGTATCATTTTACTAGGACAAATAAAATTATTTACTCATCAGTCATGATGTTTGTCGGTATCTGTTCATTTTAAAGCTTGCGTCAATAATTCGGTCTTCTGTTCATTCATTGGTCGATCAAATTATATATTATCTATCAGTAACCATTAAATTTGTCAATATTACAAACCAAACATGTCCATGACAGACCTGAAATCTTACGCCATAATATGCACATACTTTTTGTAGTGTTTTTTCATTTGTTTATTTGTGTAAATCGAATTGAAGTCATCATTAAGTTTGTGTAAGGGCTGTGATACCATCCGGGATGCTCAAACTGAGGTGGGTAGTCTTCTTAGGGAACTACTCTCCGAGCTTTTAACCCAGAGATCTGATCCACAAGGCAGTGGAGCAACGTTAGGAGATGCAGTCCCATGGTAGCCTGCGACCAACGATTGGTTCATACGCCATTTGCTTATGCTGTTACGAAACTACATAAAGTTCTTATTTCTCCATGATACGAGGCGCTTGTTATAAGATTTGGAGGTACATGATCCATCTTGTTGGTTCTGTTTCGTAAGCCACTCACGTTTCTTTAGCGTTCAGGTTTTCTTATAAATGTTATGATTCATATTCTGATGCATGACATTATGAATTGTTAAATAAAGTGAATTGCCATTATAACATACAAATTGTTTGTAAGCAGTATGTTTAGTATGTTTACCGTCTGCTTATTTAAGTTATTTTCCCTCTCTCCCTTGTTTTCTTAGGATAATTTTGACTATGAAACTATGGACGATCTTGTAAATGGAGTGTTAACGAATGAAGAAATTATGGAATATACCATACATGTTGAACCGTTACCAAAAGGACCTATTGTGCTTCAGGCTGCTCCTGATCTTAGTAGTTTGATAGATTTAAACTTTAAACTTCTGTCTCGACAAGGTGGATTTCATTTGTCTCTGCCACCTTTGTATGCTAATCTATCAGGTTCCGAAATAGTAGCAGTTGGTCCACAAGTTTTTGTGGCTAAGTCGGCGAAAGTTCACCATAAAGCCAGAATAATTGGAGCGTGCTTTATTGGATCTGGATGTGAAGTGTCGGCGTTTGCTTGCTTAATTGACTGTTCTCTTGGGGAGAATTGTTTTGTGGGTGAAAATGCATGTTTACGGCGTGTTATCGCTTTGGAGGACGTTCATATTTCTAGTCATGTAAAAGCAGACGTAGCTTGGTTGTGTTCTGGTGTTCGTATACTTTCTGGATTTAAACTTCCTAACCGCTGTTTCATAGGCCCGTCATCAACAGCAGCTGTAACATTGGGCCCAGGATGTGGTAACTTACCAAGTAACAGCGTTTTGGTTGCCCCTCGTACAGGTGATTTAGTTATAGACCCTTCAGTTGGTGGTGAACAAGCCTGGGCTGCCTATTATAAAAAAAGACAACCTTCAGGGACAGTAAGCTTTAATTTCCTGTTTACCGGTTAATGAAATTGTTGACGATGTAGTGTTAAACTTCGATACTATCACAGTTTTTGTTTCATTTCCTAAATGGCAACTTCCATGGGTCCCCAGCTATAAGTTATTAGCCTAAAACGTCTCTCCCACGTGTAATAGAAGATCTAATTCATCATTACTTCTATAACCAACTAAACTGATATATATATATATATATATATATATATATATATATATATATATATATATATATATATAGTTGGTTATGCATTTTCCAGGATTTTTCTAGTTATCGCTTTTAGTTCATATCTGACATTTTTCTCGGTTATATTTGACTGAGCATATTTGGACGTGTTGAGAATGCCCATCCATAGATGTTATCAATAACATTTTAATAGAGTCTGCTTACTTTGATGCTGTTTTCTTAAATTTTCGGATGCCTAGGTAAGACCACGGACGAATACTTTTATTATCACGTAATTCTGAGTAACTGGAATTTTTACAATTTGAACCAACATTAAGAGTAAATCGACAACGAAATGAGGAGGAACGGAAACAAGAACAATTAAGAAATAATATCTATCAATACTTAAAGTCATAGAGGTGTCGATCCTGTCTTATCCATTAAATTCAGTTCCAAGCTCATCATGTAAATTAACGCTGTACGTTAATTCATTCTTCATTATCAGAGTTATTCGACTGGTTTAATATTTTCGGTTTATGGATTTCAGCAGACTAGTTTACCAGCACTTTTATACAGAACGATGGTGTAATTTAAACAGCATCAACCTGTTGATGAAGATGGATCGTGTGGTAATTTTAAACAATAGTTCCTCTCAGGTCTACATATAACTGTAAACTGGGCGTATAAAATTCTTTAAACAATATGATTTTAGTATCCTTTGGAGTTACGCTTCGCATCAAGTTGATAGGCATCAAATGAATAAATAGTTTATTTTGTTGAAATCATGAACCGATCAATGTTAAGCCACTATTAAAAATCTGGAAGCACTGGATGGCCGTTTTGTCCCAATATGGGACTCCTCAGCAATGCCGGCCCAATGGTCTAGGAGTTAAGCATTCGCGCGCGAGACCGAAGGTCCTGGGTTCAAATGTAGCGCCTGGGATTGTGAATGAGTACTACAGAGGAGTCTCATACTAGGACGAAACGGCCGTCCAGTGCTTCCAGGTTTTTAACGGTTATCTAACATTGATTGGTTCACGATTTCATTGAACTTCAACAATCTATCTAACCCTAAACTGAAAGTTATTTTGTGTCAATAAATAGTAGCTGTAAATTATTGGTTTTAATTTGCCAAATTGATGTTCTTCTTATTCCATTAAACCTCTTACTTAATACCATTACAAACGGACTGTGATAAAATTTTCTAGCTCAGCTAAACCGTTAAAATCTAACCTAATATTGCTGGTAATATTGGCTCCTCATGTTATCCTTAGGCTCACACATAGACCCTAAACGAGAATTACTTTTATGTAGATCTATATTTCGCTCGTCTTAATAGGACTCGTTTACGAGATATCAAAAATCTCACTTACTGTAGTATTTTAAAAATGGACTTTGGGAATACTACTGCACGTTTACGAACACAGATCCTTTACATAATAAAATTATTATAAAATTATGGCTTAAATCATAAGTTACAGTAACAATGCGAGTTAATGTATTTGTTCGTACTAGTGTTGTGAACAGAACACTGGTTGGGGAAATCGAATGTTTAAACAAAAATTACAGACTATCTCACTAAATTCTGATAATCATACAATAAACAGTTAATCTGCAAATTAACAACCAATTTTCCCAATGTTCACTGTTCCTTCTGCAAATATCATTTCATCTTCTCTAATTCCATTGTTCATGCATTTTCTTACCGATTGCGCTTCATTTCAGTTCTTTTCTTATCGGTTTTCTGCCAAAATAAATTCTGTCTGACCATCGCCATATACTACTTATATGGATATAAGTAGACCACACTACACTAGTAGATCTATTAATTCCAATTACAAATGAAATCTTTATACCTTTACAGAAGGCTTCTGGATTTTGAAATTGTCAGGATTACAAGAAAATAAATGAATTCATAAAATGTATTTAGTAGTTACTCACTATTTGTTTGTTTATGGTAATGATAACTTAGTCACTAAAATCCAACTCTCAACCAGTAGTTTAGAGCTTCTAGTCCCTTTCTAAACGTGTTTCCATCAGAATAGTTTGTCATGTTTACTAACCTTTATACATTCAATGTTGCTCAAAGCCAAGGACCATCTTTGCTTGTACTTAGTTGCTTTATATGCTTTAATTTATGTATCATGTATAATATATATTTTTTATCTCAGAGCGATTCTGTGGATAATCTTTCCGAGGAGGATACACAATCCGACCAAGTATATTTAAAAGATAATGAATTTACCGATTGTCATTTATGGGAAACAGCTTGGGACAGAATTAAATATGCAGCTAAAACACTTCGGCAGAGAATGAATCAAAAGTCTAGTCATAGCCGAACTAGTGATATTCGTTGTAGTAAATCCAGCAAACCTCGCCGTATGGCAAGCGAGATTGATGACAGTGATGGTGATTTGGAACATCAACTAAAAGATACATCAAAAACTGAAAGTGATGGCGATGATGAACAGTCAGAAAGCTTCATAATTACTGAATTAAAACGAACTTTGGAACGAGGTGAACGACATAAGTATCCAGCTGAAACACTTATACTTGAAGTTAATTCCTTAAAACATGCTTATAATGTACCTATTGAGGATTTTGGATTCTTATTGACAAAAGCCTTACTGGAGCTAACTCGTGATCATTTGTCTTCGAAATCACAAAATGAATGCAGTAAAGCTGATGTAACAGAATTCATCGCCAATCTTCGTAAACTCCTATTAAACTTCAATACTGTTCTGTCATCATGTATGTCAGGATTTCAAAATACTGGTCGAGTTTATCTTCAAGCTGTTGAAGATGCAGCATGCTATGATTCATTAATATTTGCTTCTTCTATGTCTATTATTCACACTATGTATGACAATGATTTAGTTTTAGAAGATGATATATGGTGGTGGAAAGATAATTCTCCACTTTTACTTGATGATGATATTTCCGAGAAAACTCGATCATTAAGAGAAAAAATCAAACCTTTCTTTGATTGGCTTGAACAGGCGGAAGAAGAAGATGACGATGATGAGTGATGACATGTTTATAACTTTGTACAATACTTTTTCTTTACTTAATGTGTTATTCGAGGTGTACATATGATAAAAGCAAGTGTTAAAAAATGTAGTTCAATCTGTTGCTATTCCGTGTACATATTGTCCTCTTTATTGACTTTAATTTCAATACCCTCTAGCGAAACATCTGCTGTGACAGGAGTTTGCTTTATAAACATTTTCTTTGGTAGGTGAGATGAACGAATCTTTTAGTGTTCAGTAGGTTGGTAATTAATAACTTGAAAAAGGTTTTACAAATGGTTCCATTCACAAATTCATTTCCATCCAGAATAATGATTAGTGTTACTGTAGAGCTTAGAGCATTGCTAGTTTTTAAGTGTTGTATTTACGAGTTTCAAGTTTTCTGTGTTTGTGTTTAATACGAGTAATAGTGATTTTATTATTGTCACACTATATTCACGACTAGTGGGTGACTAATCACACAATTATATCAGTTATACGATTGACGTATATATCATGATAAAGTTCGTACTATTTGGTTTGTTTAGGTTAATCGATAATTTTGAACCAGTTCTAACTGTTTTGAATGTATTTTTAATTAGTTATAGACCAGTACATGCCAGAATCTTTCCTGCGTATCGTTTATTTTTAGCAAACACTAATTTTAAGCATAGGGAGTGACATCTAACTTGGCGACTCCCTGCACCAAACCAACGATGGACTAAAATAGACCATATTGCCATCAGTCATCGTTTGAGAAGTTCGATAGAAGACTGTCGATCGTTCTGGAGTACATGTTTAAACTGATCATGCTCTAATACGAGCACGCGTTTGCTTGCGACTCGCTGAACTCAGAAAAGCCACATTAAGAAGACCCATTACAGTTGAACGTGTGTTCGGGCGCCGAGACGATAATTCAATTGGTGCCACCATTTTGAAACACCGACTTCAGTGGCTTGGACATGTTTTACGAATGTCGTCCCAGAGACTTCCACGTCGTGCATTATTTGCCAACTCTGGGACTGGTTGGAGAAAGCGGAGAGGAGGTCAGTGTATGACATGGTGTCGTGGCATGAAAGAAAGCTGCAAAGGGCTAGCTTCTGTTGGTCCTTCATGACTTCCTGGCTGGGGTCCGAGAGATGGTGCAACACAGTGGCTAGAGACGTTATCAGATATGGCTCAGAATAGAAGCCAGTGGCGATCCTGCTGCAACCTTCTTTTACTTTCTACATAAAGAGTGGTTCTAACTTTCTTAACTGAAAGAGTTTTCTGGTTGTACATTTCAGTCCGCTTTCTCTTCCTACTTTCATTATTTTGTGTGGCGCATATGTATCTGGTGCCCTTTTGTACCAATATATATGTGTTTAAATAAATAAATTACAGTTGAACTCAGTGACGAGAAAGCCAAAAGTAGATTCCAAGAACAACTGAGGTAGTTCCGAGAACGAGCCTGACTCAGATGTTGCTTGAAACGATATACGAACAAGCATGATATACGAACAGTTGTGGAAACAACAGAGACGTTTATTAGAGATTTAAAACAAAGGATTACGAAAAGCCAATGGATTTCTACTAAGTCTGTTGCACTGATAGATTCTCGTAAGCTCATCCCATCAGGCTCTGAACACGATGAAGAAAGAAAAAAATCAGATCTAGGTTAACCAAAAGTTTAAGGAATGACTGTGAGCAGTGGTGGGCAACGAAAGAAAAAGAGATGAAAAAGGCAGTGACTGTAGGCAACACCAGACAACTCTTCAGACTAATGAAAGAAACCGGAATTAAGAAGTCAAGTGTAAGTGAGACAATCTTGGAAAAAGACAACACTCTTATCTACTCTCAGCCCAGACGTTTAGAACGATGGGCGGAACGCTTTAGAGAACAGTTTAGCTGGCCTTCAGATACTCTACAGTTACCCACCATTCCCAGACAGTCTGAATGGAACATTGAAGTAGATCCCCCGACCCTAATTGAAGTTCAAAAGGCTATGGCTAATCTGTAACGAGGAAAAGCAGATGGGCTGGCTCAAGAGGTCTTTAAGGATGGTGGTCCAATTTTAGTGATTGGATTGACTAATATTTTAGCTAAAATGTGGGAGTTGAATGGAATACTATCTGACTGGTCACAATCACTGATTGTCCCAATATATAAGAAGGGGTCAAAATCATAGAGGGATTAGTTTAACTAATATATCATCTAAAATATCAACCTCAATAATCATCGGACGCTTAACAAAGACTCGTGAACTGCAAACACGTGAAAATCGGACTCGCTTTAGGCCTGGTCGTTGCTGTATCGACCACATATTTACTATTCGTCAGGTTTTAGAACACAGGCATGCTTATCGGCGTCCGACAATGATGGTTTTTCTTGACTTGAAAGCAACATTCGACTCTGTAGACCAAGAGGTTCTGTGGTAGTGTCTGTCATTGAAAGGTGTATCTCAGGAGTACATCAAACTTGTGAAGGCTCTTTATTCGGATACTACCAGTCGAGTGAGAGCTTGTAGCGAACCGTCATCTGATCTTGCAATTTCAAGTGATGTTCATCAAGACTGTCCACTATGCGGCAATTCGTTCCGTTCTACTTTACGGCTGCGAAACGTGGCCATTAAGAGTAGAAGATACTCGTAAGCTGCTAGTATTTGATCACGGATGTCTTAGAAATACTGCCAGCATCTGTTGAGATCACCGGCTAAGTAATAGTGGGATTAGACATAGGGTATTGGGGAATGATGGTCGATCAATCAATGAGGTTGTAAATCTTCACTGGCTGAGATGGTTGGGCCACGTGTTACGTATGCCTGAAGGCCGATTACCACGATGCGCAATGCTAACTGGTGTTGGGGATAGTCGGAAGTAAGTTAAAGGCGGCCAAACCGAAACGTGGCATCAGTCCTTGAAGTCACTAACTCCTGGTCTTAGCCATATTGGTAGATGCAGACTACTTGGTTGAGGTCCGCGTGACTATCGTGACCAATGTTCGGAGAATGGGTGAGATGGCTCAGAATTGATCACAACGGCGTAGGTGTATACACTCTTTATCTTCCTTTAAACCGTGAGGATAAAATTGCTTTGTTTCTGTGAACTAATTCTTATTTCTTGCATTATATCCTTATATGAAGTCTTTCTTTTATATATTACTACCTTTGAAATAACTACTATGAATTCGATGTTCATCTTGTGCTGATAAGGCGTGGCTACTCGAACCGATACATACATGTGCCTGGTCCTACGTTATAGTTGACTGACTGACTGTATCGTCTTGTGATCAGAACTGTTTTCGATTATGTGGAACTCATTTTCTAGCTTCCATCATATTTATAGTGATTTGAACGTGACATAACGTATAGAAAACCAGCTTTATTAAACCGTATATAGAATTGCCTGTAGGAAGTCAACAATCTGAACAAACAGCTTCCAGCCTTCACCACTTTTCTAATATCCTACTTTGACCTAGAGACTTGTGCTCTCTATTTCGGGATGAGTGTTTAATGTGGCATCTACCATACCAATTTCATTAGTGGAAACCAAAGTATTATTATTTACTTCTTCTGAGGTTTCACAGAAGATTTCTAGTCATAAATGTACCTCGAAGGGTAACAGGCGTAAGTCAGTAAGGTGCATGGTTAGACAGTACAATTGCAACTGTAGTCTTTTGTAACAATTGCAATCCTTACTGTTTACATTCGATCACTACGACCAAATAGGAAAGCTGCTTATACGCTAATACGTTTATAGACGTAGTAGAATGAATGTTTGCTGTACGAATTTTGTTCAAAAACAATAAATATTGATGGATGCTTTCAAAGGGTGCGAATAATTTAACGATTTCAATGATTTCTAATAAAAATAATATATTTGTAATGTCCCAATAAGTAGGAAAATTGAATTTTTAAATTTTCCGTCGTTTCGTGAATCAATGTAAGCCGCTTCTTCAGAGAATAAATAGACAAATTAAATTAACCCAAGTTTAACTAGTACAGAGGAACAAAGAAGAATATTTGGTGCGAGCAGTCAAAAACAGGTCTGACCAATTCAATGACGTGTCATTCCGGACAAGGTTATTTATATTAGGCATGTTTGTATATTCACGTGTGTGTATGAAATTTGTGGTGCGAAAGGATGGAGTTGGATTTGTATGCTCGACTGTGATGTTAGATGTGAATAGAATCAGATATGGTAGCTCGGGTAGATGGTCCAGTTTGGATAGATAGTGAGGCCTTCTTTTATATTGAGAGCAGTAAGGTTAGGCATAAAATGGGAAGCTTCAGCTACTCGTCTTTTTTATGATTGAAAAGGCCTTTTTATATGTATTTTAATATTGACTTGATAGTTATTGAAAATAGCATAGACTGCTATTGTAGATTTAATTTGGAGTCTTTCTAGTTCCACGGGATTAATTGGCGGTTTATTTTTGTAACTGATATTCTTCGGTTTGATTCAATATTTCACGAGGTGACTCCCCAATATAGTAGCATCACAATCGAAACATCCTAATTTGTAGACTTAATCCTGTGTTAACATAATGAGGATTTCTTTCATACGAACTAAAGTACTGAGATGGGTGTTCGTTGTTTTGTAATATACTTTAATCATGTTTTCTTTTAAGACTCTTTGGTCACTGAGATTGTGGTTGCAATTCTGTGAGCCACAGTTAAAATATACATGAACTTAACCATCTGAAATTTCTTATATATCGGATGTGACAATCTTATCAACACTATAGGTTAATTTTTAAATTTTGCTGGTGATGCATCAATCAGGAAACTTAACCAAATGTAATATCAAATATAAATGGATTTCTGTAATTATCCATGTTATTATCTTAGTGGGCTTATTAGTGGGATTTTAAAAGATAAATAAAAGTGGGCGACGATTACAAGTTAGGTGTAATCTCCGAATTCCCAAGCTTGGGGATTCATAACGACAATTGCTTTCGTGTCCATCATTTTTACACAAACCATGTAAGTAGGATCTCAAAATGTTGATTTTTACTATTAAAGAGATTTACCTTTTATGAATTTATAAAGCTCAATAAAAATGCTCTTTTGTGTCTATCATTAGAAACCGTAGATATTAATTTTAGCTAAATAAACATATCCGGAATCGAACAAGGTTAAAAGACTTTCGGTTTCTCCAAACAGTGGTTTTTTGTTCCTTACTAGGACAAAACACATCTCCTGGACTTTCAGGTTTCAAATCATGGTCTACCTGAAAAATTTGCTAATCGTATTAATTATTTCGTAAAAGTTTTATGAATTTTACAAGTGAAACAGTCGAGAAGAAGGATTCGTTTATTGAAATTATTGTTTTCTTTCTACATATGCCTCAGGTTATTTTCAACTGGAAATATTATGTTATAAAACCGGGGGGAGGAATAAAGTCAAACCTAGAAATTAAAACATAGTTATTCACGACTTTTAAGAGCTTACCAAATTTTTATAACCCCTCTTCAAGTTAACGATTAATTTATTGTCTCCATACATTTGAAACTATGTTTCGCTTTACACAATGGTCTGTAGGGTTTCATGGTGGGAACATGAATAAGCGTTCAAGATGCTTCATCATTCAGTTTAACCCATACAAATACAAACTACTGACACGCGTGGGAAAGGAACAGCAAGATCTGGAATTTGTAAACATTTTATCAGTAGGTACCATGAAACAAAGTTAATATATGGGATACTGAAAATTGGAATTTGTCTGCAAAAAATTTGATAAGTGGCTACTTTGAACTATGAACTAAAATTTTATAAATCTTCCTAAAACACTCAGCCATCAAGAGATTCAAAATAACTTATATCAAGACAACATTATTCTATACAAAGGGAGAAATGGAAACAATCAGCACAACAAAATCAGTTGCGTTGCACATACTACTTAATTAAAGCAAGTAGAATAAAGAGTATAAAAAAATCTATTTAGATGACTTTTTGTTGATCATATACTCAGTTGTCTTAAAGCAAGTAGGTAGTGACCAAATAACTACAGTAACTTTCGGGATATGATTTAATGTAGTCAGAAAATGTTCAACCACAAATCTGAATGATTGTCAGACTGCTGATCGTTAAAATTTCTCAATTGTCAGGATTATTCTTCAGTCCTAACTTGGGTATACTACTACGTTTTATTATTATTATTATTATTATTATTATTATTATTATTATTATTATTATTACTATTATTATTATTATCATTATTATTATTATTTCCAATGAAAGTCAGACTTTAAAAAAAACGTTTCTTGGATTGAATCCACTTTTTCGAGCATCTTGGTAATATTATTATGCTCACTAAAGGTCTCATGGGTTCATTTCTATTTTATCTGAAGACTTTCTATGTATTTGGACGTTATTTTATCTGTTCATTGGTTGTAATATATATAAATTTATGCACTTTGTAAGTGATTTGAAAATAAGAAATAACAAGTGATTGTTCCAATAAATTTGACAGTGGAATTTGTATACAACAGTGTCAGTGAAAGAGCATTTCTAACCCTTGTTAATATTATGTTATGTTATTATGTTATTATTATTATTATTATTATTATTATTATTATTATTATTATGTTATTATTATGTTACATTATGGTGTTTGTGATCCAGTAACTGCTCATACTAAATCATTCTAATGATGTCATATATATCACAAGATTTTATTTTTAATGATAGGAATTTCCAAGTCAGTAACTTTTTTATTTCGAATGTTTGTTCCTAATCATTTCTTATTCAAGCGTTATTTCAACAGAGGACGATCAAATTTTATTCATTTAATCTATTTTTAAGGTTGGTTCATTAAGTCAAATGAGGAATTGTTTGCTATGTAATTTTGTAAAATGTACCCACAATTTGTATTGTTGGTTGTGGTCACATTTAATCAAATACTTAGTACTAGGATATTTATCTGTTGACAAATGGCTTCTTTCAAAATATTCAACAAAGAAAACGCAAACGGCTGGATTATGATCATTTCTTTTCAGAAATAAATGGGTACAGTATATGGAAATCTCTAATGTCAATTTAGTTACAAATAAAAAATACACTATATCTAAGAGATTCTCGTTGTCATTAGTTAAAATGTTTGTAGTATAACTATGTGTGTGAATCATGAAAATTCACTGGTATTTTTGTGTAAATAAAATACTGCTATGAACGAGGGATATGTAAGAGTAAGCCTGCGAAATATGTGGATATCATCAATAATAAATGTAACTAAAGTTACTCATAATGTTTGAATACTTTTCCTAATAAGGATAAAACTAAGTTATCTTATTTGATAACAATCCCATGATAATTCTCTTGCAGTGAACGAAAAATCCAGTAGGGACAACCAAATGCATTCGAATACAACATTACAGAATATCTTGGTGAGATCTGAGAACCATGCACTAAATACTTCATTTTCAAAATGTCAATCAACTGTCTCAGACTCGACTGTTTCTTCGTCTCCATAGCGATCATTCTCTATTCTCGTTTTCTTCTCTTCGATCTTCCTAGCCTTCTACGGCCAGGCATTACACATTCGATTGGTGGTGCATACTACTTATATCTATCGAGATCAATAGCTCACACCACACTATCATTATACCAGTGAGTTTATTTGAAGAAGCAAAGCGAAACTAAAATTAATTATATTAGAAATTGATGGAATTCGAAATCAATATTTTAATCTTGTTAATTGGTTCACTTTAATCAAATTCATGAAACACACACTGACTTTCGTTTGAAATTATGAAATGTTATCTGGTACTGAAAATATATCCAGACAAAAATGTTTTACAATGTAATTCTCACTATATGTTTCAACTTCAGTGATTGTTACCCAACCATTATGCACCAGTCAATAAACGTTTAAAATAATAAAATTTGTTTCTTTGTTTTATAAGCAGTAAAATATTTGTATATCAAGACTTTTATTTTTCCGTCTTTGATGTTAGAGGCTAGAACTGAACGGTCTGTATTGGCTTATTGACATCTTGAAATGTTTGTTTCGATACTGCCGTTTAACCACAAGTTTCTGGTAAAGTTGAGTAGTGGCTAGTAAATGTACCAACAGAAAATGTCCAGTTACAGTCTCTAACAGCAATAACGTGAAAGTACAAACTTTCAAAGGTAAAATTCATACCTGTCTCTCTAGCTAATGGCAGTTCCTGTTCAGTAGCTCAGTGGTTAAGCCATAAGCTTTGTAAACGAGTTACTAGGGTTGAGTCCCGCTGTTAACATCCATACTGGGATGAAGGTGCATCTGACTAATGAGTTCTACGAAGAACGAAACATATTTCCTATATTCCACTGTTAACAACTATTCACTGCTAGCAAATTATTTGTTTTTAAAAAGGGAATGAAAGGGAAAAAATTACAAGACTTAATACCATTACATTTAAAAAGTACTGATAAACTCACTTTCGAATTGGTTCAAGGATCAGGGCTGCTTCCTACAATCAAGTAATAAGTCTATCTAGAGATGACAGTAATAGGACGATATATTTCAGGCTTCATAGTTAGGTTTCATGGGAGCGTAAAACGAAACTTTATTAAATTTCTGTTTTTTTTATAGAAAATTATTCATTAGAAAGCCATTCAAAGAGATTAAATGCTTTTAAGTTAACTTATAATTAAAATAAAATAATCGTTTAGAAGTTATGAACCTGAAAAAAATTATGATAAAGTCTTAATAACCCTTTCAATTACAGTTACAAACTCTGAAGTCACTATAGACAATATCTGTTTTACACCACATATATTAGTTTAATTACATCTAGTTTTATGTCCGAGGTTCATTTACATATTTTTAGAGCGAAACTTATCTGAAATTGTGCGATGAGTTAGGTACTGTATTTTGATGCATAAAATAACGATGCGAGTAAACGCGATTAAAATATCCCTCTATACAGTTGTTTTGAGTTACTGAACAGTGTTTGCTTAAATCGAGGTAGATATTTACACTCATTCACCTAAAGTTAATTTGGTTTGAACATTAAGATATTTTTCGTAACGAAAAAACATCAGTTAGATAATAAAAACCGGGAAGCATTGTTTATTTCTTTGGAACCACATCTGTGCACGTAGACAACTTTATACGGGATGGGACTCAGAACCTACAGGTTTCCAAATGAATACTATAACTTCAAACCACAAATTCGACGGGTCACGTTTCCAACGTCAGTAATTTTTTGATACAATGTTACGATTACTGATTGTCATTACAAAAAACTCTCCCACTTCCAATACAGTCAATGTTCACTGATCACTACTTCCAACTAGAACTTTGAGAGTTCTCATGAAAGTTAGTGTTCAATCCTCTCCGAATTTCTATGGTTCTTAAAATGATTTCATTCCTTGACAATAGCTACTGTTAATTTGACTAACACAAACAATATATGGAAAGTGATCGTTCTAAGTACAATTATCGAAATCAGAAATTAATTTTATATATGTAAAGGTTGGAGCTTATAAAGCCTAAACAAAAATAAATATTATCTTAACTTTCTCATCTTCATAATTATGATATATCAAAGTGACTTGATTAATAGTGCTGGAGAATTTCAAGTTACAATTTTTTTTACAACTTCAGCTATGCGAATCTATGCGGATCATTTATTTCAAGCATACTCGGTTTATATACTAGACAGACCACATCACACCATAAAATAGAAAATAATATTTGTACAAGATCAAGCCAAATGTGGCTGTGAACGTTGGATACAGTAATCAATAAACTGAACATAATTTGGAACAGTAAATCGTACAGTAATAATTCATAGGTCAAAATGAAGCTTATAATAAGACGAATATAGATATACACAATCTAATTACTTAGTACTTAAACAATAAGAATATATATAGAATAACCGTCTATTAATAGGTCCCGGAAGTTATCCGTACTTACTTCTTAATAAGGATATAACAAATAGTATTCAACATGATTCATTTATTTTCATAGATATATATCTCGTCTCTATTTAGTCTGGATCTGTCAAAATCAATTTCATGTACTTGGAAATTCCTAGATTTAAGTGTTACATAAAAAATATAAGTTGCTCATTTAAATTCATTTTCAATACTCTTTCTTTTAAAAAACAGTCCAATATTTTATATCAATAAATAAATAACATAAAGAAATGATAAAGACAAATACCATGTATATGTAAAAATCAGATTATCAGATTACTTTTCGGTAGTAATAATAAAATACTACTACTAATACTACTATTGACTACTAACCCTACTATTAATCTGCCGATTTGCTCACATTTCTAATTTACATAAATTTAATCTAATCTCAAGGGTGTGTCCAAATGAATTAAATAAAAAAAATTATTAGAAAATTAATTATCTACTACTTTCTCTCCTCCAATGAATGAAAATAATGTTTAGTATCTGCTCCAGTTAAGGTTTATATAAATACCTTGACAACTAGTTAATGCTCTGATCTTTAAAATAATAATAATCTATTTCTATTACTTAAAATGTATTGTTTTCGATCAGAAGAATCTAGAGAACAACAACGAATCAGTCGAGAAATTGAACGTCAATTACATAAAGACAAAAATGCAGGAAGAAAAGAAGTTAAATTACTATTACTTGGTAAGTTTTTATTACGGAATAAGGAGTCCCAGTTAATAACCTAGATGAAGTTAATTAGTTGAATTGTAATATTATATGTACGAATTTCTTTGAATTAATGATTCAGTAGATAAACATTACTTTAAATATAAGTTAGTGAGATCTCTGGCTATTCATTGTTTACTTACTTACTGACTTACGCTTTTTATCCTTCGTGGAGCACAGGCTGCCAACCAGGATTCTCCAACCAATTTTGTCTTGTACTCTCTTACCCAGTTGTTCCCAAGTACTATTCGTTCTTTTGTTGTCTTCTTCCAACTTCTGGAGCAATCTATTCTTTGGTCTTTCCCCTTTCTATTTGCCTTCAGGGTTCCAAGATAGGTCTTGGCTTGTGATATAGTTTGGTTATTTCTGTAATGTGACCTTTCCACCTTCAGCGTCTTCCCTAATTTTATCCTTAGCTACAAACTGGTTGATTCTCTACTAGAGTATGTTTATTCTAATAATACCTGGCCAACGGATCTGGAGCATATTGCGGAGATAACTGTTTATAGATATCTGCAGCTCTTTAATAATGGTTATAGTGGCTATCCAAGTCTCAGTTTTTTCGTGTTCCAGATGCTGTTCAATTATAGGACTGTTGCCCTCGTTTTGTTATTCCGTGCCTGTAAATCTGCATCAGATACTTCTTGATTATCAATGATGCTACCCTGGCACATAAAAATCCCACATTTTCCAGAGCTCTGTCAGGTGTTGCTTGGTTGGCACTCTGTGTTATTATTCAGGATCGTGTTTTTTCCCTTGTGAATATTGAAACCTACTTTTGGATAGGCTGTCGCGTCATCGGCTTTCTTTATGTGCAATGTTTGCTATGTATGAGATAAAGGGACTAGTTTGCATCGAAAGTGCAAATGATAAATTTGTATTTCCATACAAGATTTTGACACATTTTATGATAATCATTAATAATTTGGAAGTAAAATCATCATGAAATATTGAATTTACTTGCACGGGAAAATTGGGAAATTATGCTTTATTTAATTTGAATAGATCCATACCTTTTACGTAGCCATAGTAAGTACCAACACCTCTTAATTACTACTAACAGTTATCTATCTGAAATAAGAGATGTTTGTTAGTTAAGTTACACCCTGTAGATGAACTATATCTAAAGGTCTTCATTGGAAAAGTTATGAGGGAAATCCTAATAAAACATAAAATAAATAGGTGGAAATCCATTATACTTACTGTTTAGAATACTGATTTGGATTGTGAATGCGTAGAAAAACGTTCCTCTTTTAATTTTTTTTCTTCAGGGACTGGAGAATCCGGTAAAAGTACTTTTGTAAAACAAATGCGAATTATACATGGAGCTGGTTATACAGACAAGGAAAAAGAAGCTTTTAAAACTTTAGTTTATCAGAATATCTTTCTAGCCATGCAAATAATGTGTGATGCATTGCGTACACTTTCGATAGAATTAGAATATCCTATGAATCAAGTAAGTTAAAAATTAAAATACTGAAGTAATTTAATTGTGAATATTATAGTTTGCAATTTAATTTTTTTTTCACATAAAACGATTAAGTTTTATACCAGTAAGCGTAAAATCATTAATCTTAATTATAACCAAAGATGGATAGTGGCTAGCAGTGGAATTGGGGATGCGCGTTTGGTCCAATTCGGGACTCGTCAGTTGGATGTACCTGCATCTCAAAGTTGATGTTCACTCTGGGACTCCAACCCAGTATCGTTGGCTTCAAATGCCATCGCGTTATCTACTTAGCTACTGAGTCCTGACTATCAATGGGAAGATTCAACCAAATAAAACCAAGTGAAATCAATCCTAATAGTTTGAAAATATTTTAAGGTAATGTTTACCAGGAATAATAACATATCATTCATCGTAATAATATAATCTATCCACTCAGCTACAGAATATTATTACTAGTATTATTTAATGTTTAATTGAATCAGAAGAAAAAGTAAATTCATTAAATGTTTCAATAAATAATAATAACAAATAACTAAGAAGATAGTTTTGTTTATTATTTTGTGTGATTTTCATAATATTCAGAAATAAACAAAAAAGTTTTGATTAGAGTCATTTAAAGTAATTTTTAATTTGCATATTATGATGTCTGGTAAAAAAATACCTTAAGATCATTTCTAAGCAAATTTAACGAATCTTTAAATTTTATAGTTGAAATCATGAGTCTATTGAAGCTAGACCACTATGGAAAACCTGGAAGTAATGAACGGTCGTTTCGTCCTGCTGTGGAATTCCTCAGCAGTGCGCATCCACTATCCCGCCTCATGAGATTCGAACCCTGAACCCATCGGTCTAGTGGTTGCTCAATTTCGTGGATTGGTTGAAGTTAGACATTAACACCGTTGGATACCGGCTCAGTGTTCTGGAGGTTAAGCGCTCGCGAGACTGATAGGTCCTGGGTTCGGATCCCGCGGGACGGAATCTTGGATGAAAACTCTTCAGGAATCCCATACTAGGATGAATTCTATGATAGAAAGATTTAATATAATTAGCGACTGATTACCAGGCACTTTAATAGGTAAACTCAATAATTTGTCAGCAATTAATCAGTCACTCATTTTCAGTACAACTCTTCAGAGGTTTCGCTAACTAATATATACTCTAGTCCATATATATATAGTCCATATATGCTAAATAAAATTCTAATAAGAACGATATTGATAATGTGACTGGGTGAAAAGTTTTAGAGATATCGGAATTTTACATGTTATAGACACTAGTATTTTTGTACTTCTGGATACTGAATTTTTATTATTTGCTCTTGCCATAACTAACTAACGACTGGCAAAGAAGTAGAGTTTCTGAAATTTTATTAATGACTTCTAACAAAAGGTATGGCAGACGCTAAGTAATAATATAATAGTGATGTTTGGAGTATATTGAGAATTCACTACAATCGAAAATATAAATCACTAAACTTTGACAAGTAATCAAAAAGTATGGTGCTCTACGCCAGATCTGAATGTCATTAGTTTAATCTCGTGTACATTTGTGTGTGTTCACCGTTGTGAATATGAATCTCCTTACCAGACCTTTTAATAGGTAAACCCGGTAATTTGTCAGAAATTAATCACTCACTCATTTTGAGTGCGATTCTTCAGAGGTTTCGCTACCTAATATATACTCTAGTCCATGCTAAATTAAGTTCTAATGAGAACGATAATGCTAACGGGACTGGCTGAAAAGTTTTAGACATTTTTATTAGAAATCTATGTTATATTAATGGAAATCACATGTACAAGTTGGATGTAAACAGTTTTCGACATAAGGACTTCATACTTAAATATGATGATGGCTTGTGGAGTTGTTTTAATTTCTCAAGTCTAATGTATACAACTCAAAAATTCATTTGTTTTCACTTGAAATGGGACTAGGAAAACATAGAACTTATCTTAAAAATTGATCTTGAAGATTCTATCGCACTGACACCTGAACGTCTCAATGCCATGCATCAGTTATGGGCTGATCAAGGAATGAAAATGTGCTATGAACGTAGAAGAGAATTTCAATTGTCCGACTCATCGAAATAGTAAGTTAAAAAGATTATGGGACATCGAACTTATGTAATATTTTTTTGCAATAATTATTTAAATTTTTCTGTTGAAGCGATGTTAACTGAAGATTATTAATCAGAAATATCTGAATTCCTTAATATGATTATTACTTTTTCATCAGTAAGCAACTGTTTGAACTCAATCAAACAATAAAATGGATTGAAGTATTTGCAATGTGTATTATAATCCCAGTACTTATACAAATCAGTCATCATTTCAACGTTACCCAAATTAAACTTTTTATTTAGGAAAACAAACCTTATCTTCTCAATAAGATGTAAATTTCTTTTTACAGAGTTCAAATAATAATCAAACATCCTAATTACATTATATTTAAATGTTATTAACCTACATGAAGTAGCATATAATTCAACTTCCTGAATATTTAATATTGCTTAAATTTATCAAGCATTGCTGGTTACCTAGACTAATCTTTCATTTAACCACTGAGGAAGTATTTAATTATATTCATCAATCACTTGGTGATCATTAATTTCTAGTTGTCTTATCCCTATTGCTCGTTGAATGTCATCAATAAAGTTGGCAATCTAGCAACCAGGCTGTGTTGATCGACAGATTGATACACCTCATTACTGTTATGCCTTTTTTATGGATACCAACCACAACAGAACGCAAATTCGAAGCTTCCTCACAACTGCTTTTAGCTATCTTGTAGATGCATTTAGTTTGCTTTGTTAAATCATGAGATAATAGACGACATAATCTCCGGAAATTTATAAGTTAATCAATAAGTAATATCCAATACTACTGTCTAAACGGTATATAAGTTGATTATATAGATGTATATTTGTCTAGTATTATATTTTACTTTGGGCAAAAATATACCATTATACTGTTAAAGCATTTAGTTATATGTAGATTATCTGTAACTAAAAGTTAACAGTTTAACGACAAATGATACGCATTAGACAATAACCCAAATAACTCATCAATTCCGAGGTGCCCAGTCATTGAGGTTTATTTATTGATAGTTACTTGTGTCTATTTTGAAAAACAACATTGCAGAGGGTTAATTGATCAGATCAGAATATTGATATGCCCAGTCAAGATTAAAAATACAAGAACAAAATATTTGGCGAAAACGTTTTCTACGTAATTTCCCGTTTTCTATTTACAGATAAAAATTAGACTTGGTTACGTTGATTTAAATCATAACACCTTGTTTGCAAAAATGAGAGTAAGCAAAACAGGCTTCGATTAAGTGGCCATTTACAGAAAAAGACCTATTCAAGATAATTTACAAAAAGTTTAAATATTAGACTTTATAATATCCAAATTCTTTACGAAAAATGACTAATTTCTTAAATCGTCATTAGAATGAAACAAATCTTGAAAATATCTTGATGTTATAACCCTCTGCAAAGCTTGTAATAATATTAGTTGGGTAGATTGTTCAGAGTTGAGATAAGTTTTTCAAGGCAAAACAAAAAAATCATTGGTGTATGAAATCCAACGAAAATATATCTTCTTACTTTAATGAAAAATGAAATTACATTAACTAGATATCAATAAAAATAGACCATTGATAACTATGTAGATAGAAAATATTTCAAAAGTCACATCATAACTTCGGAAACCTATTCACATTTTCATCTTAAAAGTTAAATAAGTTAACTAGACGGAATGTGCTTTCTAACTTCATCTTTCCATTAATTGGATTTGATTCAGGTATACATAACATGATACATTATCCATCATGGATAAATACTGACATACCTTCTGCTAGGAATGAAAAATGCATTACTTTTAAAGCTTATTATGATGATTTCACCCAGTATTGTGATGGAAGCTTCTTGACAAATACATATATTCCAGGGAGAATTAGAAATTTCGAAGATCTGTTTGTTTGTTAGGAATGAGCGTAAAATAAAATATTTGTTTGATCCTCTTGGTATTTTAAAAGTTTCTTACGATGTTGATGAATTATGGTTCGGATACTAGGATACATGGAGAAATTTTCTTAAATGATCAGTCTTATTTAGTATAGCAAAAATATTTAGTTTTAGTTCTAAATATTCAATGTTCTTATCAGAAAACATTTTTAAACAAAGCGAAAAAATTCAAATTAATATAACATATTAGAAAGGAACAGTAAAATTACAATAACACATGACCCATCAGAAAAAATAGCCATCATAAAAATTCCAATTACCAGTCATTGAAAATATTCAAGTAGCTTTTTATACTTCCTTTTAGCTATTTGAATAATTTTGACAGAATAGCTGATCCAAATTACTTGATAAGTCTACAAGATATTTTACGTGTACGTGTACCAACAACTGGTATTGTTGAATATCCATTCAACTTGGATTCAACGATTTTCAGGTTAGTCTCTAAGTTGTTAAAATGTTGAGAAGAAAGTATTGACAGAAAATAATAATAATGAGTGGACTGAAGGCTTTGAGACATCACACAGTGAAAAAAGCACTTCTATGGTACAACAACAGGATCCGAACAATGTAACAGATTAAAACAAGTAATCTGAAGTTACACTTTTCTAATAACATGTGTAGTAGCCAGAATGATCTAATAGTCCTTTGTTACCAATCAAAAAAGCTTGATTTCTATCCTTAAAATAAATAAATCCTCGTACCGACTATGTTTCTTCAATTTACAGTGATGATGTACAGATTAAGTTATTTCTGATAAACTCTCAAATTCTTATGCTAACTGTTAGTTATTTTCAGAAGGGGTTTTGTGGAGATTCGGTATTTCCGTAGTTGCAAGCGTAAGTGGCGCGACAGTGGAAGGCCCTGGGTTTGAATCCCATGAGGCGAGGTCGTGGATGCGCACTGCTGAGGAGTCCCACAATAGGACGAAACAACCGTCAAGTACTTCCAGGTTTTTCTTGGTGGTCTAGCTTCAATTGACTCACGCTTGCAACTATGTTAGTTATTTGCCAAACAGAATACAAAGAAACTACAATGATAAAATTTGGATTACAATTACGCACATAATTTCGTTAGATAAGCAAATCCTCTAACGTTCCAACGAATAATATGAATACTGTTTCACGAATTATCACTACTTTTGTATTTAAAAGTAGATGGGATTACAAACACCGTCACAGGTTTTGACAATATTTGTATCTTATGATATTACAAATGCTATTGCTGATTCTAGTAATATATCAAGTGCTGTTATTCTCACTGCTTTCTATGATGATTTAACCTTTTGAGAAAAAGGTGTGTGGTATCTCAGCCAAATAATTTGAAGTCAAATTTTTCTGAAAGTAAATGAATTTACTCTTATATATCAAAAGAAATTTTTATATCGAATGAAAGAATAGTAATTGCTTACCATACTGTTAAAACATTCTGAATTTTTAACTGTATAGAACATTATAAAATCGATTAACCGCTGAGTAGTGACCTATATCATATTTATTTAGTTTTTAGTGCTGATCGAATTATCTTATCTTTAAAATCATAATAAAGGATTGTAGATGTGGGCGGTCAAAGATCAGAACGAAGAAAATGGATTCATTCGTTTGAAAGTGTAACTTCTATTATATTTTTAAGTGCATTAAATGAATATGATCAAGTTCTTGTAGAAAATGAAAATGAGGTAATTTATTTTGTAAAAAGTTTAAAATATTTTGCAAAATTTTTAAAATATTTTTTTATTTATGAAAGTGAGAAAGTCATCTCAAAGCTAGTTGCAACTTAATCATTATAGGAATAGACCTGTATGTTTTATTATAGAATCCAAACTTCGTTCATTTCAAGAAATGTTTTAGGTATTGTTAATATAATTCATTCAGTAAACGTCTATCTGAGAAGTAAATACACATACAAGTTGAAAAAGGTGGATTTAAGTACTGCATATGTTCTTATTTTTATTTGAAATTCATATTATAAACAGTACATAACTATGAAAATTGTGTTTGAATAATTTTCGTTATTGACATCCAAATAACTTTTATGTTTCCTCCAGTAATCTGATCTGAACTTTTTCAAGGGAAATGTAATCGATCATTCAAATATAATTTTTACATTTAATTTCTTCTTTATACTCGGTATCCAGTTTCTAACAAACAATTCTTTCAAATTCCGATAACTATTCATATAATATACATAATTGTGTTCAGTAATGTAATGGTAATTCACTGCAAAAAATCAAGCACCATTGAAATAATCTGAAAACGAAGCGATAAGCAGTGGTTATACTAACCATTGAGTAATCAAAATGTCTACACTTTAGATCTGTTTCACATTGAGAAGTTCTGAAATGTTAAAATGTGTTTAATACTAAATAACGTAGTGTGGTTATCACAAGTGATTTTTGACTCAATAAAATTTGAAATTAAATTCCGAAAGTTTTTAAATTAACACACGTATTCTATTGTATTCATGACATAATTTGTATATATAGCACTTTTCGGAGTAGTAAATAATAAACACTTATTGAATGATATCAAATGCTTATCACCATTAAAGTTATTTACGGAACTGTACACCAACTTAAAGAAAGAAATCAGAAAAAAGCGCTGGAAGTGGATAGGACAAATATTGAGGAAATCACCCAACTGCCTCACAAGGCAAGCCCTCATTTGGAATCCTGAAGGCCAAAGAAGAAGAGGATGACCAAAGAACACATCACGCCGAGAAATGGAGACAGACATGATAAGAATGAGAAAAATTGGATAGAACTAGAAAGGGAGGTCCAGGACAGAGTGGGCTGAAGAATGCTGGTCAGTGGTCTATGCTCCATTGGGAGTTACAGGCGTAAGTAAGTAACACTAACTTAAACAAAAGAGAACATGAAAAGACTTTTTTGTTGAATTATGAATTCAATTTTAAAGCCTAAAGATTGAGTTTACTGATAGTGAATAGTGAACTGAATAGTGAACTTTTAGTAAAGTCTACTATACAAACTATATGAAAGTACACAACTGTACTCAAACTATCATGTTGCAAGCTAGAGTACTCTATAACATTAAAATCAATGAGTTTAGGCATTGATATGACTTTAATAATGAAAAGTTTTTCCAAATTTATTGCATGAAACACGTCATCTTATTAGGCTAGGTAGTATCATTATAAAAAATAGCTTCTGTACTGTGTTATTATTTAAGGAACGGCTAAATCTATTTTGGTTTATCACCTAGAGTTGTCAAATAAGAATCTCTATTTTTTTTTAAAACTTTGTTTTTGACTAATAATATTAGATTATTTTATATTTCATTTACTGTTTGAATTTTGATTGTTTTTTTCAAAATACCCACTCAGTAACTACAGTTAAACTAACTATTTCATTAATCAATCTTCGTTTCGGCCGCAAAGCACTACATTACCTTAGCTAATGAAAAATGATTGATGATAAAAATCAAACTTTTAAGGTATCCATTAAATTTTTATTTTCTATTGAATCGAAAACTTCATCTATCGTCATTTATATTCGGTGATAAAAGCAGTAAACGACTATTGATATGAGCTTATAAGACGTTTCTTGTCTTAATATCCTATACTTAGGATTAATATAAGAATATTCGATATGTTATTGTAAGTCTAAGAATAAATATTCGTTAATAATACTTGTTTATTATATATTTTTAAGTGTCATGTAGTTTTTACTGACCAAGATAAGAACTCATCTTCACTTAAAAACGGTGATAGTATATTTAGTGTACTTCAATTGTTCTGTTGCCAGTTACAGTTTGATAACAATAAAGTTTTGGAATTCTTAAATGATCATCTTTTGTCTTAACCTTAAAATATTTCAAATCGATGCATAAAATAAATTTTAAAATTTGTATAAAAATCTCTGTGAAGAGTATGTCTATCACTAAGATTACTGTTAAGTTATTCGACTCATGTTTTTAACCCCCCCCCCAATTTACACTGTAAGAAAGTGTACTTTATAAGAATCAAGGAGTACTTATCTTGTTCACACCATTTGCAACAATCATTAAATTGAACCTAGTATTGTTTGTTCGAATCTTCCCATCGAGTCCCAAATAGGATGAAACGCGCGTCCTGGATTCCACTGCTAGCTACTATCCATCTCTGCTAATCATCAAATTGATTTCAAAAATATCAAAATACCACAAAAAGGTTTTTTCAATTACAAAGAAAGGAGAGTAGCTGAAGCGTTCCATATAATGCTTAATACCACTGCTCTCAATAGAAAGGATGGCCTTACCATACATCCTGCTTGGACTATCTATCCTAGTCACCTAGTCTGATATTATTTACAATTTCACACCATTACATTACAAATTAAACTCTATCCTTTTGTCATTATAAAGGTCACACATTTTTCATCATTAACAGTGCACACATTCACACACAAAATTACATACATGTTGCTTATGAATCACCTTGACCGAAATGAAATGACATTACATTGATTTATTCAGACCTATATTTTGATTGATCACCTAATATTTGTGTTGTTCCGTTGTACTATTTAAACTTGGATTAATGTTAATTTGGTTATTTATTCTCTGAAGAAATGGCTTACACTGAGTCACGAAACGTCAGAAAATCTAATTTTTCTACTTATCGGGATATTACAAATATATTAATTTATTTATCATCTTGTCTATATTCTATATTAAGGACCTTGAATCCCAGTATTATTAACGTTTTATAATAAGATTTTTCGTTATAAGCAATATGATTAAAATTTCCTCGTGAAATTGTTTCATATCTTACAGAGCCTTTGACATTTAACATAAAAATTTTCGTTCAAATTGTGTTTCAAGTAAAAAAACGGTTATAAATTTGGTTATAATATCATCTAATGTAAAACATGCAACTTCATACATTTACTTTTTTTAATCAACTATCATAAAGAAATCGGAACATTATTTAGGGGGAAGAAGTGAATCCATTTCTTTTAAATTTTTTCATATCTTCATCATAGATAGACAGTTATGATTTATATATTAAGGAATATCTTTAAGGCTATGTCTTTTTAATATCACATGTTAAATTTGTACAATTAGTGTTGTATTTATTCAATATACACAGTAAGGTATTGAAAAAATAGATTGATATTACGTCAGTAAGAAGAAGTTCGAAAATTCCAATCATCGGAAAGGTTACCTAATGATATAAAGAGTAATGAAAACAGAAAACAGTGAAAATAATGTATACATGAAAAGTTTGAATGCTAATTGCTCACTAAACCAAAAAGAGGATGGAACAGAAACTAATAGGTGATAGTACCAGTTGAACAAGTAGAAAATATTCTAAGCTTGGAAAAAATTAAGATCATGGTGAAACGAAGAACCGGGCATGTTGCTCTTAAATACAGAGTCATGACTTGGTAAATTGTCAAAAGCTATTTTGTGAATTCATTTCTGATCCACAATCCATTATATGCCGAAGTGTTTGAACTTTTATTTTAAAATCTTCAAATATATTTCTGGTTCTGCTATGTAACCAAAATCGATTAGATGTTCAAGAATTAACCTGTTAAGTAAGTTGCATTCTGCTTTGGATATAAAGATTACATTAAAATTAGGATACTACGTACACTCAATGAAATCTGTTTCACAAAGGAAAGTAAACTGGTTGGTACAAAACAACTGGACCCACAATAACATTTTATCTTTGACATATCGGTATGATATTTATTCTTTCCCAGAAATTTTAAAAGTTAATCTTAAAAATGATTACCGCATTACGTGATGTTCAATCCATGATACTAAATAAAGTCCTAGAACATAAAGTACACATGATGTAAATAACATTCAACTAAATTCTTTCTAAAGATAAACAAAAGGATTGTATTCTAAATGAAAAAGATTAGACAGAATTAATCATGTTTAAATTTCTTATAAACGAAAGAATCTGTAAGGTAAATGACATTTTCTTGTTGAATATGTAATGTTCATGAAACTTATCAGCCAACATTAGTTTTAGTAACTCTTTCAATCGTTCCATTTGTTGAATAAAAAGCAAGGTTTTGATAAATATAGTACATAAATACCTATAATATCCATTAGTTTGTCTACCAAAATATTTTGCACTATTGTTGAAATAGTTCCTTGTTAAGAATATCTTGAAACAATTGTATGTAAAACTTGTTGAGAACTTCTTTCAATAAATATTTAACTATTCAAGATGATTAGGAGTATTTGAATTATTGTACGAATTAGAAATCCCAGAAATAATGCAGTATAACCAAGAAGAACTATATGAGCACGAACGAACGTATTGTATTTGGAATTCGAAATCAAGCACTCATCAAATACAAAGGAATCATTAATTCATAAAAACGCCACATTATTTTAATCTCAAATTAAAATTAAATGTTAATCAGAACACAGATTTATTTATTTATAACTTTGATATTGAAGTTTATGCATTTTACGTCGGTATTTTAAGTGTGTATCATCATCTGATTATTAATGAACGGTTATTAAAAATGATTAAATGGTCAGTTAACAATATAAATCGTAAAACTTGTCGACTGATAAACATAGAATAGAAATTGATGTGGAGGTGAAAACTTTATGTGTCGAAGTACGGTTCACTTTATTTGTGACTGATTTAGGTACTTTTTATTCAGTGGACGAATAAACTGTCATATTTTTATAGACAGAATGTTCGTGA